AACAAATGATTTGTTCGTAGCTTGATTTATAACAGGTTAACAGTAATTAATTATTAGGATTTTGTTAGCTAATTTCGCACCGACGTTAATATAATATTTATTAACTTCATTAACAGATTCTATCCGAGTGGAACGCTTTCCCAACAAGTAGTTTGCCTCTAGTCTATGCTTATTCAGATGTGTTGCACTTTTTACTACTTCCCATAACTTTTTACTGTTATTGCCAGCTTTTTGAATTTCACTGCTTTGATACTGTATTTTAAGTTTTTTTAGAATATCATTACAGTAATTGCGGTATCTGCGATATGTTATTTTTAGTGTTTCATTATCAGGTGTTAATTTAAGTTTCTTATGTAGCTTATCACGGTTTTGCATGCATCTTAAGATGCCAGGAGTTATCCATGGTTTTAATGTGGTTTTACGATGGGACAATCTAATATTTTTAGTGTTGTTTTCCAATGCTTTTGATAAAGTTTCCACTAAGAAACTTGCTACTTCTTCAGGATTATTATTTTTATACATTTGGCCGAAATTAACGTCTAATAAAAACTGCTTAAGCCCAACATGATCAATTTTTCTAATATTTTTGTTAAAATAACATTTATTTTGTTTTATTTCAAGACTAAGGCTTACAGCTTCGTGATCAGTTAAAAAAGTTTGTATAACAAATGATTTAGCGGGCAGACGTGTTTTGAGCAATAAATGATCAATACATGTGAACATTCGGGTGGATCATGTAAAAGCTGGAAGAAGTCCATGTGATGCTATCAAATTAAGTTATAGTTCGGCTTGCTGGTCCATATTCTCAGGGGAAATATCTATATTGATATCGCCCATTAAAATTATATATTTGAAGCCTAGTTCAGTGAGAAGTTGTTTGGATGAAAAAAAATTGGTTGCATCGATTTTAAAGCAGTATAGATGATAAATCCCTATTATTACTGTATGTGTTCCAAATTTAATTACTAAGCAGTTATCTTCTTGAAAAGTGGGCTCTTTAACGGTACATTTCAAGTTATCTTTAATATAGATCAGCACACCGTCGTTCTGATTGTAAGTTTGCTTGGTGGCATGAGAAGAATACGATTCTAACAAAGGTATAGGACCAGAACAGAACAGCCAACGTTCAGTCAGTATAACCAGATCAAAATCTACATTTATCCTTTTCATTAGCACAGCCAGACCATCAAAGTTTCGTTTAATACTTCGAATATTGTGACATAAAATGTTTGTGTAGTTATTAGGTTGGCTTATTATATGGCATACATCTTCAGGATTGCAAATATAAAATTCCGAATTTGTTATATTTATTTATTTATTTAAAAACTTTATTGCGTCGCTTTAGAAAAAAAAAGGATACAAAGGGCGGACATAATGCCTCAAGGCATTCTCTACCAGTCAACCCATGGAGTGGTGAGAGTTTGTCGTAGGTGTAGCAATTAAAAGAAAAAAAAATTAAACTAAAATTAATAAACATTATATGTAACAAAACAGATTATGACATAATATTATAAGTAAATGCATATATATATTCGCACATTTACATATATTAACACATATTCATAATATAATAGTCATAGTCAATGGTGCCCTGACTGCGTTAGTCAAAAGGCAAGGCGTAACGAAGAGTGCACGCCTTGCAATACATAACGCAGTGTTGGTACCGACTTTGTTATATGGCAGCGAAACCTGGGTATGCCAGAAGAAGCATAAAAGTAAGTTGAATGCAGTGGAGATGCGATCTCTTCGTAAAATGTGCGGCGTTACTATGGCCGACCGAAAGCGAAACGAAGAGATTCGCAATATGGCAGGTTTGAAAGATGACCTTATCACAAAAATTGATAAGGGCGTGCTTCGGTGGTTTGGGCATGTTGAGCGAATGAGTGTAGACCGAATGGTGAAGAAAATATATAGCGCGAAAGTTAATATTAAAAGGTGTCGAGATAGACCGAGACTAACTTTCGAAGACCATGTGAGCAAATTGCTCGAAGAGGGTAGGGTCAAGAGTACTCGGATACCTAGACGTGCATGCATGAAGAAGATAATGAATCTGAAAGAAGCGAAAGAGGTTTGTAAGGATCGTGACACTTGGCGATCTGTTCTCTCTGGCTACCCCGTCAGAGATTGTGCGTGAAGATAAGTATATTCATAATATAAATATATTTATATGCCAATAAACAAATATAAACATACATAAATACATATATATGGATATAAATATACGTAAATATAAAGTTAATACATACATATAAATACGATTAATTAATAATTTTGTAATTCTAATGATTATTCAGTAAATGCTCGCGTACCTTCTTTTTAAAGGAGTATTTGTTAGGTGCTTTTCTGATATCATCAGGCAAGGAATTCCAAGACGAGCAGCCTGTACAGTGAAGGAGTTACTATAGAACCCGGTAAGATGAGTAGGAATATAAATCTTGTTATTAGAAGAAGATCAAAGAACCCTATCATGACAAGAAGAGAGATATTGAAATCGTTCTTTGAGGTAAGAAGGTGAATATGGATCATTAAGAATTGAGAAAAGACCAAGTAATATTCTGGAGTTGCGCCTTTGCCTTATGGTAAGCCACTTAAGCTGAGATCTATAATGTGAAATATAGTCATACTTACGCAGATCAAAAATAAATCTAATACAGTTGTTAAGCAGGTTATATTATCTAGGTTATTCAATATTTCATTGATATTAGCGAATTTTATATATATTTACTAGCTGTTCCCCGCGACTTCGCCCGCGGGTTATTTGGGGTTTTAATATTTTTGCGCGGAACCCTAATTCTTTTTCTAAAATAAAAGTAGCCTAAGTTACTTCTTGTGACATCAACTATCTGCCTGTGAAAATCCCGTCAAAATCGGTCCAGCCGTTTCGGAGATTAGCCAGAACAAACAGACAGACAGACGGACAGACAGACAGACAAAAACTTTAAAAATTGTATTTTTGTTATTAGTACCGTAGGTATATACTTTCATATGCATTTAGTAAAAAGCTGTAATTTTGAAATTACAAACAGACGCTTCAATTTTATTTATTTGTATAGATTATTAGGTAACGAAATGTTTGTAACTGCGTCATACTATTAGTCTTAGAATGGGTAAATATTTTAAACCGCATCGTATAATTAGTAAAATCATAATAAATTATTTTAGAACTTGAAATGTAAATAATCAGACTGTAATAAGTTATTTTATACAATATTCTTTTTTATAGTTCATGACAATGTAAAAACTGTGAGACATGATATGATTTTTGTTGCATGGTCTTTGTTTAGTGGGTAAGTAAGTAAATTGTGATTGTTGATTAAGCTTGATCTTAAGTGAACAAGTTGAGGTATGTATTAAATAATTATGAGTTATGTGTGAGACTGTATATGTTAAAGTGTATGACGTGTTTATTAAAAAAGATAGCTTAGAGCATAATTTCTCAAACTTAACTAATTTAGCATAAGAACATTCTAGTATAACTAATATTATAAATCTTACATAGTCATTTAGCATTTTTAAGTTCGGAGAGCTGGGCTTCATTTTTTATGAGAATGTGTGGATCTCCATCTTTGCGGCGCAAGTACACATTGGCGTTTGACGTCCAACAATATGAGTAACCCATCGTTTTGGCTATATCTCTTGCAAGGAAGTATAGTCTTTTAGACTTTGTTGTCAGATGTTCACTTATGTAAATTCTTGATTTAACATTCATAATTCAATGTACACAATAAAACAATTTATATATATATATATATATATATATATATATATATATATATATATATATATATATATATTTATATATATATATATATATATAAATTGTGATTTGTAATCAGTGGTGCTAAGTTAGGCGATTTTTCGCCTTTTAGGCTATCCGCGCGCGAAAATTGCGATTAGAGACTGGTCGCAATTTAGGCTACTTCGAAAAAAGAACAAGGGCGATTTTGAGCTATATAATTCTCTCTCTTATTAAGTAAGTCTCTTATAATATATAACAAACTCATATTTTATATTTAGATTTTTCTTTCACGTTTACGATTAACCGCTTCAAATTTTATCTTGTTAAAATTATAAATAAGGTTGATTAAGGTAGGTCTACGTTTAAAAATAGCCTTTATAGGCTACCTGACAATTTAGCAGGCGATTTTAGGCTACATTACAGAGAAAAGAAATTAGGCGAATTTAGGCTACTTGACGACACATTTTTGGCGACTCGGACCGGTCTAGACTTGGCAACACCAAGGAGTATAGTAATAATATATATTTTAATCTAGGGATGGGCAAGGGAAAAATATATCGATATATATTGAATCTATATTTTTAAACAGTATCGATATATATTGCATGATAAATATCGATATATCGACATCATTTGCATGATGTAAAGAAAAGGTCCAAAATTTTATATAGCTGCCGGTTGGACGACGAAAAAAAAAAACGACAACCAACTACACTTTTGTACTACCTTTTGGTTGTTACATGTTTTGTCATTAATACATCAGTTTAAAGTATATCGAAAATGATACAAATTCGATAATTTAAAATAAATATCGATAGATCGCGACTTAAAATATCGATATTTTTAATAAAATATATCGATATTTTTTGCCCAAGCCTATTGTAATCAAATCAAGTCAAAACACCAACACGTATTTTCTACTTGCTTTTATTGCACCTAATTTTTTTTTTAAATTGATTAATTTGGACATCTGGAACAAGTGCAGTCTTTCTAGAACAGTTATTAAACTCTCTAGTGGTTTAGTGCAGTCAATTTCGATAACCTTATAATTACGAGGTGAATAAGAGGTCATAACGTGAAAAAAAATTGAGGAGAATGAAAGTTAATTTCATTATTTCATCATGAAATATTCAGGAAAAAACACAGACGCAAAAAGAAAGAAGTCTAACTTTCGGCATTGTATGTCATTATTTCTAATTGTATAATTAGTTTTTAAGTAGAGTTTTTCACTATAGTTCAGTTATAACTTTTTTATGTAATCATGAACAGAATCAAGAATTATACTAAAATGCCAAGAAATAGTGAGGGCGCCAATGAGACTAATATGCATGCCGACGCTTGTCGCCTCATCGCAAATACGAATAATCCTCCAGATAATAGAAATGGGAGAGAAAATTCATGGAATGCAGGAGTGCAAATGTTCGTGTCATTCCTTCTGGCTGGTTATGGAATGGTTGCGGCCAGTTTATTGCTAGATCGAGTGCAGCATTGGAATGTGTTTGAAACAGTCCCTGAAGTATACATTTTGGTACCGGCCCTTCTAGGTTTGAAGGGTAACTTAGAGATGACATTGGCTTCACGATTGTCAACACATGCACATTTGGGGCATATAGACAACAATCTAAGTATATTAGTTATTGGCAATTTATGTCTCATTCAATGCCAAGCAGTACTTGTGGGATTTCTGGCTGCTATGGCAGCAGTAGCTATGGGATGGATACCAGATGGACAGTTCGATATTCACCATGCAATGTTACTTTGTGCTTCAAGTGTCTTAACAGCCTCATTTGCCAGTTTGGTTCTTGGATTGATAATGATTGGTGTTATAGTACTTTCAAAACATATGGACATAAATCCAGATAATGTAGCTACACCAATAGCTGCTAGTTTAGGAGACTTGACAACATTAGCATTATTATCATGGATAGCATCTTTATTACATACATCAATTGGTACAAGCATAATATTACCTACTTTAATTATTATTGGTGGTTTAATTTTAGTACCAGTTTGTGGATATATAGCATATGAAAATAAGTTTACAAGACAAGCTCTAGATGAAGGATGGGTACCTGTAGTATCTGCAATGGTCATAAGCAGTGCTGGAGGCTTAATTTTAGACTATACTGTTTCAAATTATAAAGGAATTGCAGTTTTTCAGTTAGTTATCAATGGAATAGGAGGTAATATGGTTGCAGTGCATGCATCAAGGCTTTCGACGTCCTTGCATACTGGACAAAAAGCAGACAATGTTTTCAGCAGCACCACTAAACTTTTATTGGTGATGGTGATCCCAAGTCAACTTATTTTTATTCATACTATTGAATATCTAAAGGCTGGTCATACTTCCTTAACTCCAATATTTATTCTCATTTACATGTCTGCTGCCCTTTTGCAAGTGTTTCTATTATTAACAATCAGCCACTATATGGTTGTAGCTATGTGGAAGCTAGGTATGGATCCAGACAACTCAGCAATACCATATTTAACAGCTTTGGGTGATCTTTTAGGCACAGCATTATTAGGCATTGCTTTCCATATTTTATTTGCTATTGGTGATAAAGACAGTGATTTAGGTGACTGAAATATGTATTATATTACTTAAAATGTACTTAATCTCAAATTTTATGACCCACTTAACAAATAGGTACTTATAACTTTGAATCTTTCTGCCCTGTGCCATTCAACTAAGAATTAATTATTTTTCTCTTATATATTATTTTTTTAAATTTATTGCATATTGTATTTTTCTTATAAAAAAATATATTTGTGGAACTAAACATTAAGTTAGTGCCAATTTATAAATTAATTAGTCTACTTGGTGCTATTAATTAAGAATACATATACATATCAATAAATATTTTTACAAATTTGATGTAATATTTAATTTTACTAAAGGTTACAAACTGGCCCAACACTGAAGATTTAACTGCCTAATCTATAAATATAATAAATCTGTATAAAATTAATCTGTGAAAAATTGTGTGTTCACGATTTACACAAAACTACTGGACAGATTTCCATAAAGTTTTGTATGTAGACAGTAAATGACTGTATATATTTATTTTATTTTATTCATTTAATCTTTTTTGTTGACACCTTAATAACAAGGGTAACAAAGGGCGGACTTAATGCCTAGCGGCATTCTCTGCCAGTCAACCCGTGGAGTGATGAGATTTTGTGGCAGGTGCAAATACACACATATATACATATATACATACATACACACACACATACATATATGTACATATATACATACACATTCATATATATATACATACACATACATACATACATATACACATACATACACATATACATACATACATACTAAGATATGCGTATAATATACAAAAACTTTACATATGTAAATATATGAACAAAATATGTATCATACATAGATATAATATATACGTTACATATAATAATAAAATACATATATTGAAATTACACATAATAAAACATCTAAATGTGTCAAAATTAACATCACCATTCTAACATCGAACATCACTTCGACTCAAAAAAAAGTCACGCACCAACTTTTTAAAACAATCCTTACTTGGCGCTCTTCTTATGTTTTCGGGCAAGGAGTTCCAGAGTAGAGATGAGACATACTTGCAAAATTTAATACCAGGGCTTCTAAGTACGAGTATGGAAAAATACCAGGGTCGAAAACCAGGTTTTAAAAATACTTGAAAGTATTTGTTAATGTCAATATATATATGAATGCCTAATTTGATTCGGGCCAAAATTTATACTGTACCTTTTTAAATTTGTTTTTGGTAACGAAATGAAATCTTTCCTTCCTACTTTTCGCTTAGGACTCTTAATAAATAAAAGTTTTAAAACTGTCTCTAAATTCAATATACACGCGAAATAACTATTTAAAAATTAGGTCACGGTCAGTAGGTTACGTAATCAGTTCACAATAATAATTGAACTTACAAGAAATCGAAACAAAACTTTCACTTCCCCGAATATAAACATAATCCTTATTACTTACTAGCTACTTACGCGCCGTGTCCAGCCGCGGTGTCAGTTTGAAAATACTTGCAAAGAGTATAGTAATATATAAGGAAGAATACTTGCATAGGAATTCGACCCGCTTTCCATGTTAGGCTATTATGACTAAGGAGCAAATTCGTATAAATAAAAAAAATACTTTCAAGTTCAAAGTATTTTTAATTCACAAATACGATTGAGTTTCTTATTACTATTGATATATGGATCATTTTCCTATGCAAGTATTCTCATACTTGCAAGTATTTTTTGGTCGTAAAAGGGCGCCGTACTGTAAAGTTAAAACCTGGTAGCGTAAATACGTCTCATTGCGATGCGAGGGACGTGTCCAGCCGTGGTGTCAAAATTTGAAAATACTTGCATAGGAATTTCACCCGTATTCCATGTTATCCTACTATGAATAAGGAGCAAAGTCGTATAAATAAAAAAAAAAATTTTGAATTTCTAAGTATTTTTCGTTAACAAATACGATTGAGTTCATTACTACTTTTGAGATATGGATGATTTTCCTATGCAAGTATTTTCATACTTGCAAGTATTTTTTGCTCGTACCAGGGCGCCGTACTTTGAAGTGAATACCTGGTTTTAAAACCTGGTAGCGTAAATACGTCTCATCTTTATTCCAGAGTAGTGTTGCCTGAATAGTAAAAGAATTGTTGGTGAATCCAGTGAAATGAGATGGAATACTGATCTTATGATTAGATGAGGAGCGAAGAACCTTATCATGAGTTGAAAAGAGATATTGGAATTTGTCCTTCAGATATGTTGGAGAAGTTGGATTATTCAAAATTGAGAAAAGAACAAGCAAAATTCTAAAGTTTCGTCTTTGTTGGATAGTGAGCCATTTAAGGCGTTCACAATAATGAGAGATATGATCATATTTTCGAAGACCAAATATATATCTAATACAGCTATTGAGAAGACTTTCTAGCTTATTAAGAAGATTTTGGTTCACATCTTGGTAGCACACATCTGCATAATAAATAATGGGTATTATAAGTGTTTGCGCAAGTGTTAGCTTAGTCTTGATTGGAAGAAAGTTCTTCAGACGATAAAGGGATCGTAAGGTGGCAAAGACTTTGCTGCTAATTTCAGTGACATGCGTACACCTCTTATATATATGCATATATATAAGAGGCCACTTTTTATCTACTTATGAAGAGTAAAAAAAGGGTTGTTTTCCTTTTTAGGGTTCCATAGTTACACAACAAGGAACCCTTATAGTTTCACCATCTCCGTCCGTCCATCCGCAGTTGTGCTTAGAGACCCAAGGTGCTACAAATCTGTAATTTGTTATAGATATTAATCACGCCTAAAAAACTGTGATATAAAATCTTAAAAAACCATTTTTATTTTGGGTACTTCCCATACAAGTAAATGGAGGATGATTTCTTTTAGCCCGTCTATTCTATCATATGGGGTGTCAGTGGATAGGTCTTTCAAAAACAATGGAGATGTGGAACATCTTTTGGATTCAGGTGTCCTTTTGCAAAATATTTGGCCTTAAAGTGGTATTTTTCATTAGTTGTGTCCCCCCAACCCTAACTAAACTTCATACAATCAGCCTCCTACAGTTTCATTGGTCACATTCTTGATTTACACAGGCAACCTCAGGATAATTTAGGGCAATGGTGGTTTACGTGAAGGTTCGTTATGGTCATATATGTATATGTGCCAGTAGTGCAACATATGTATATATGTTGCACTGCTGATGGTTCTATTAGACCTAAAGAGGATTTAGCTATACGTATTGTAAATCTATAGAAAAGTGTGTGTGAAAATAAACTCATCGCACCACCAACCAGAAAGGGTAGAATAATGTCGGGCCAGTTAGTGAACAATAATGGTCTTTAAGAACTTGTCCATTAAATAAAATTATATATTAATAGCTTGGTAGTTTAGTGGTCAAGTATTTAATTGTCCGGTATCACAGTTTAAAATGTACTTGTGCAGAGCAACGGCATGGGCCTTGCTGGTTTGCGGGGCTGTGGGCAGGGCGATCTTGCGCACTCCTAAGTTACCTGTACAAAACATGCGAGCGTGTTTTATAAAACTTATTAAATGCAGTTTTCGAAAAATATAAAGCAATAATGGTGACTTACTGTTATAGTTATATGAGTTACTAAGTTAAATTCAAATAACGGCCATGTTTTCCTCATTTTTCTTTTGATAAAATTGTTTGTCGGAACACAATACACAATCGAAAACTGAGAACATCTATAACATACTGTTAATAAATATAATATCCAAAATTATTTTAATACCGCACTTCTAGGTAGGTAGGACCTAGAAGAAACTGTTGCTGCATTTTGCCTTTGTGCTATTAGTTACTATAATTTCTACCCATTTACCATAAAAAGAATATTAATAAGACATGACAAAGAAGATGGTAAATGGTTTCTATTCACCGTAGCAGAACCATGTAACTACCTAGATTTTATGAACCCTGCAATACATGTGTACAGGCGCGCTCTCGTTTTCATGGTTAGTTTTAGTTAATTTTTCTCAGTTAATTTTTTAAAGACACTCCCGCCCCTCCCGCTACCTTCGGGTTTCGGTAGCGTGATCGGTCAGTCGAGTGCTCGCGCTCGTGGCAGCAACACCTGTTTGGTGTCCCTGAGACGTGAGATCAGTATTGCGTAAATGATTTATTAGACGTCACTACAGTATTAGTGTATTTTTTTCTAAGTGTCTCTTATTCGTCACCTCTCTGTGTACGTTATTATTTTAGATGGATCAACCTGGACCTTCAGGAAACAGTCAAAAGCGAAAGCGAGTAGCTCTAAATACTTCGACAAATGAAAAGACCTTAAGTCAGTGGATAGAGGTTGAGTTGGAGCGAGACTTCAGTGATGTGGACGATGAAGAAGTGGATCCAGATTTCTGTTTACACAGTGATCATGACTCGGCTTCAGAACAATCTGAGGATGAAACTCAATCTCAACGAGAAAGATCGCCCCGCAGTTCAGTTGCGATGCAAGATTCAGGTCTATCTTCAATACAAGATAATATACACACAGAATCCCAAAGATACTACATAGGTAAGAATGGTTTTAAATGGTCAAGCGATGAACCAGTGATGCGTAACTGTCGTTCACTAAGCCACAACTTGGTTGACATACCTAGATCACAGCCTAGAGCATTCACCAACCTAGAAACCTTGTGGAGACATTTTATGGATGACGATATTACTGAAAAAATAATTGAATATACCAACAAAAAACTTGCCCAGATACGGGTAAAATATAAAAATCAGGAAAAACCTGAGCTTCGCAACACGGACGCAGAAGAAATGAAGGCTTTCTTCGGGTTATTATTTTACTCATCTGTCTTCAAATCTAACCATGAGAATGCCAAATATATCTTTGCTACAGATGGTTCAGGCCGAGATATTTCGTGCAGTTATGTCTCAGTATAGATTTCTTACACTTTTGAACTGCATTCGTTTTGACGATGTAGAAACCAGACAGCAACGACTAGAGACTGACAAACTGGCAGCAATTTCGGATATATTTGAAAAGTTTATATCTAATTGCAAAAAAGTTTATGTACTCGGTGCTTACTTATGCGTAGATGAAATGCTTGTTCCCTTTAGAGGCCGATGCAAGTTCATAATTTATATGCCCAAAAAACCAGCAAAATACGGACTTAAAATTTTGTTAGTTTGTGATGCTGAGACATTTTATGTCTATAATGCTTATATCTACTGTGGCAAGGAATCGGACGGTTTAGGTTTACCAGAAGATGACAAAAAGTTTGCAATTCCTACAGTCTGTTTTGCGACTTTGTAAAGACAGAACACCAATCGTAACATCACTGCTGACAACTGGTTCAGCTCTTATGAGCTAATGGAACAGCTAAAACAGAGAGGTCTGACTTATGTTGGAACTCTAAAAAAAAATAAACGTCACATTCCACCTGAATTTCAAGCGTTCAAAACAAGAGAACCTGAAACAGCATTGCATGGAGTTACAAAAGACTACCTTGGTTTCTTATGTTCCCAAGAAATCTAAAGCAGTTTTACTGATTTCGTCCATGCATCACACGTCCGAAATAGATCCCGTTACCAAGAAACCGGTTATCATAATGGAGTATAATAAGACAAAGGGTGGGGTTGATAAAAAATGTTCGAACTATTCCTGTAACCGCCGCACTCGCAGATGCCCTTTAGCATATTTTTTCAGATTGCTAGACTTGAGCAGAGTGAATGCCTTTGTACTTTATAGGCAGTGTGCTGACGTATCAGACATATCAAGAGGACGATTCTTACAGGATCTTGCCCGAGAATTAGTTTAACCACATTTACAGCGACGAGTCTACAATGACCGTCTTCCAAGAGAGCTAAGACTGACAATGAAACAGATTCTTGGCGAAGATTTACCGCCAGAACCTAGCCGCATTGAGTCAGCTGTTGGTGAAAATGACAAAAAGACTTGTAAGGTGTGTCCAGCAAGGCTGAAGCGACGCACAAGGTACAAATGCGTTGCATGTCATCAGCCTATATGCTTAGGCTGTTCCAAAACAATCTGCAGCGACTGTACTGACTGAGACTGAATTTAGAAGACTGATTCCGTGGTAGTATTAGTATTATTTTAGTAATTAAGTTGAAGAACTAAGAAATTTTATTTTTTGTTAAAAAACAAGTCTGTTTGTTTATTTCATAACACTTAAGAAGTGCGTCTTTTATAGAATGTGATTTTTTCGTAACTTTTGCCAAATGTCCTAATAAATGTTGATTAATGCTTAAATTGGGTTTAATTTTAGTCTATATCATTAAAAAGAGGGTTTTTATTTTGATTTTATACAAAAAAATGTCTAATTAATAATTAAGTTCATACTATTGACATAAATTGCGTAGACGTCTATAAAACGTCACATCACCATTTATAAGTCAACCAAACCACATCACTACTTAAAGGTTATTAAACATAAAAACAACTTACATCAGATGATTGATTCAATCAAAGTAAACAATATATTAACATAATGTCAACTATATTAACATAATGTCAACAGTTTAAAAAAAATTAACATAAAAATAAATCTTAAAATCGATTTACGTTTACAGTTCGATTTATTACTTGTTTTTGTCACCTGTATTTTTAGTCTGTGCTGAGTGACAGCTCCTGCCTGACTCAACTCAATCTATGATCACTCATCTTGTATCGTTTAGTACATGTGTGTTTTAAGTGTTTCCCGTTGTTTTAATGGTTTATATTGCTCGACCACTGCTTTCTTTCTACGGACTTCTGATCTTACTTTATTTGTACAACGCTTGCTAACATACCTAACACCGATAATCTTGTTTACTCGTTTGACTTTGGCTCATTGTGGATTTTACGGCCTGGATTTTATCTATTAAATAGTGACTCAATGGATCGCTGTGTGAATAGTCGCATAGCGACTGGTTGCTATAATACAGTAGACCCACAATCAACAAAATAGCAAACGCACTTAAAGTATAGGTTTTTGCCAACTTGTTGCATAACCTCACTTTCACTAAATCTCTTATAATTCTGCTCTCAGATTGCCAAAGGCCGCAGAATTTTCAGTGATGTTTTGATAATATATAAGCTATTAATTGACATCACTTTCATCTTTTTACAATCTGGGCCGAAGAATGTATGAAAGCGTATCAGTCTCCTTGGTTTGTAATATCCTAGTTGGAGGTAACATTTATTAAATGAAAAAAAATAATTAATAAATCATTCTGAAATAATATTTTAAATTGAGTGAACCGATTTTCATGATGCGTCGATCATTTATTTGGTTTGTATGAAAACACCTTCCCGCAGGATCCTGCCTTAAGAGTCGATCGATACATTGCATTATTTTGATATGGCTTTATAATAAATAATAAAGAACTGCAAGACTTACTAACACACATACAGATATATGATAAAATCAGTCTTCTAACTCCCAAAGCAGTGATAAACACACAAATCACATTTTAAAGCTGTGACAGGCAAACAGCACTTTAGATAACATAAGGTACCCTCAGTGCATTGAATTCTTTATCTTAAGTCATATGTTTAATATACCCAGTTTATTTGCAATTCATATATAACGATTTTAATTCTACACTGTTAATGTTTATAGATATGATTAAATATGATTATATATTTTGGGAGTGTAATTACGTACTATGGGCATGGGAACATAAATTTAAACAAATATTTTAAAAGTTTTTGTTTATTAACTTAGTCTATGTGTTTACTTGACTTCACGTAACCTCCTCACTGCTGACCTACAAGATGAGGCTGCTGTGGTAGAGAACACCCAGGCACCTCCAGCCACTGTCCTCTTGCAACGTTTGCAGGACCAGATACCAACGCAAGAGCGCTTCATGGCATCCTGAAAATAGAATAATTAATTTTTTTTAAAAAAAATTCAAATAAACTCACCTGACTTACAAAGATTTTGACAGAAATTTGACTTGGTTAAGTAATTATGACCAAGAACCTAATAAAAAATAATTATACCCTTCCAGTTAAAACCTTTAGTAATTTAGTAAAAATGAAAGTGTTTGATATTTTACAAAATTGACGGTTAATTTAAGAATAGTGTTTATTTTTAGGTTTTTATAGGAGAGGGGGCAAACGAGCATGTGGCTCACCTGATGGTGACTACCGCCGCCCATGAACCAACTGCAACACTACACCACGGGAATTGCGGATGCGTTTACGGCCTATTAATAAGGCGTAGGCTCTTTTCTTAAAGGTTCCTAAGTCATATTGGTCTGGAAAAATTGCTGGTGGTAGTCGATTCCACAAGGAAGTTGTGCGAGGAAGAAAATTTTAAATCACACAATGGTGGACCGCCAATCATCCAGATGGTATGGATGGTATCACGATTTTGTTGCAATGTGTGATAGTGAAATTGAGCGGCTGGAATTAAGGCGAAACATTCCTCAGAGCACTCTCTGTGGTAAATGCTATAAAATAAGCAGAGATGCAACATCTCTTGGCAGTGCCAGTGAGTCAAGTCGATTGGAAAGAACTAGACCGTCAACGATTCGAACCTCTCTGTGCTGGATGCAGCAAAGTGGAAGGAGCTGGCACTGGGGAGCCCAGAGATGGGAACAGTATTCCATGTGGGGTCCAAACCTGTGGCTTGTAAAGTTGCAAGCAATGTATCGACATGAAATACTGTCACACTTTACTGAATATGCCAAGCTTTTTAGAGCCAATTTGGCCTTCTCTTCCAAGTGACCATCTTGAACTGCACTAAAGTGCAAGTCACTCGATATGTCAACATGGAGGATTCCAATACTGGCTGAGGCAACAAGGGGAGTTCCTTGAAATTGAGGAGATACGACAAAGGGGTTCATTTTAGTGGTAAACGTGCAAACTTGTCTTTTCTGGGGATTGAATTGAATTAGATTTAGTCACCCCCATTCCCAGACTTTGTTCAACAAAGTCTCGACTTCAGACATGTTTGTTCCAGTACTCTGCAACGTTTTCCCAAGAAATATTGACAATGCCAGTGTATAAAGCATCACCAGTGCTGTCGTCTGCATAGTAATGAATGTTACCAGTTTGCAACATATAATTGATATGCAGAGGAAACAGTGTTGGTGATAGCATGCATCCTTGTGAAACGGAGCCTTAATGGGCTTGTAATCAGATCTGCAAGTAAACTGGTGATCCAATAGCACAATTTCTCGGGAAGCCCACAGGAAGGAAGCTTTGAAAGAAAAACTTTGCACTAAACCCAATGGAAGGCCTTCACTGTCTAAACTAAGGGCCAACAACCTCCCTCTTGGACTCCAGACAGGTTGACAGAAACTGTACTGAGTACAACAAATTTTTGATAAGGTAGCATAACTAGATCAGTGACATGTATATAATTATGTTGAGAAAAGTAATACCAGCGTCAGTAGGTTGAGGTGTGACTGAGCCCTGGGCCCTTGGGTCTACCTCCCATTTCAATAATAATGGGTAGCTGATCTAGTCATTCCCTAGTTATATTATCCCCTATTATTGTTAACAGAAAAACTAACTTAATATAATATTAATAAATTTATTTGCAAACAATTCTGACAATGAACAATTTTTAATTTTTTTTGTCTCAGACTAATTTTTAGAATAGCTGAACCAATTGTGATGTAACTTTATTAACATAACGCTAGGAGGGATCTAGGCTATATTCGTAAATACTTGAATTTTTTTTAACAAAATAATGATAAAATAAGTGGGATAATTGTAAATAACATTAAATAGATCTATAGTCAGGGTGGGTCGCTAATATTATAATATAATTACATACAACATTTATTCATCTTTTGTAGTTTGAACAATTGATATTAAAATAACATGAATGAATTTCAAATCAAAAAAATCATAACATTTTGTATACATAGGAAAAATAATTATCTCTGAAACTATCCATCTATGTAATATAATATCTTAATGACTGTCTCATTGGTCTAGTGGTTGTAAAACTTAACTGCAGATCTTAAGGTTCTGGGTTTGAATCCCAGATTGGACCAAAGATTATAAATTATTTCATATTTCTGTCAAGAAATTTTCAGCAGCACCCCAAAGTCAGGAAGTTGGCAGTGTTTAATCCCTGTGCCTTGCATAGTATGTATATCCGTTGGTCCTGCTGTGCTTGCACAAACACTTGGGCATTATAATCCTATCCTGCACAGATGGCTAGCCTCCATTGAGACCGAAATTCAGCCTGGACAACATTAACATAATATCTTAGGATTAACCTAAAATGAGATCTCTCACATAACTTTGAACCTTCAAAACTATTGTAGGTTTTGTACAGTTGAGCATTTTTTTTAAAAATACTCAATCGGATTCATCCTAAAAAAATTCTATAGACCTATTAATCAGTTGGTTTAGTAAAGATTTTGTGTTTTGAAAATTTTATTAATTTTGATAATACACATTAAGTTCTTAACAATATCGGTTAAAATTTCCAATATGGACCATCGATATTTGAGGTTTTGGAGGGAGGGGGCGAGGGGGGGGGGAGAGGGCTACCCAAATGTGCCATCCCCACCCTGCGGAACTCCATGGTTATGGAGATATTCATGGTTAAAGTTTTGAGGTTAGAATAGCACTATTTAGTTAAATAGAATGATTTGAACTCATTTGAGTCCAACACTCGCACTTCACTCAACTCTTCAGACACAGAAGCATGGGGCTTCGGAGACGCCATGGTAGTCAAACGTTGTAAGCTTACAGGAGTACGTAAAACGATCTCAACTGCAAGGGCAACAGGTGACTAACGGTGACTGGACGCTATTAAACAAAATGGCCGTTGGTATCGTTAGTGATTCGCAAACAGTATCGATACCTGAGTAATATCGATACTTCCAATTCAATACCAAGTATTTTTGTACTCGATACACTTTTTACGACTTTTGAGTAGATATCGATACTTTCTGAAGTAATATTTACTTTAGAACAAGATTCTATTTAAAGTAAAAATAATTGGATGAACTACGATTTACAAATGCTGATTTTAAATTGAAACGTAAAACTCAAATACAACGATGACACTAGATCTAGAATCCATTTTAAGAGAAAAGAAAATCTCCTTCGTCATAAAAAGTAGGGTGACTGATTCAGATGGATTTCTTTATCTATTTGGAGACTGCTACGTCTCCGGCGCTGCGGGAAGAGCAGCCTCTACGTCTTTGCGTAACAAATCACAGGCATCCCTCCTCGCCTCCGCAGCTTCGGCGACCAGCCTCAGCCGCTCCGGCTCGTCCGATGCCTACGATTTGTTACAGCAGGCGGAGCCTGCTCCCCCTACGCGCCTCCGGCTTTTTAAAACCACTCTAGGGGTAGGACAGACTAGTACCACGTGGAGTCGGGGTCAACCAATTCGGTTCTTTGACATAAGTTGAACCTAACCTATTTTATTTGTTATCTACCCTAATAGGTACTGTTAAAATAAAACAAATTTGAATAATCAAGTCGATGTTGCTAGTAGGAGGTCGTCCTATAACACTTTTGCATATCTTTCTTTGAGGTAAATTTGTGTTCACGAACGTAATTTAACATTAACGAAATGTACTCGATACCAAGTAGTATTGATACTTTTCATGCGATACTTGGTATTGAGTAGGTATCGATACTTTCAAAATTTTCGGAACCCTACACTAATTGAAACGTGAAGAGATTGACGTTTGACATAATTTCTAATTACGTGTTATTTGCCAATTTGTATGAAAAGTTAAAAAAAATATATCTCATGAACCGTAAGTTTCCGCAACCTAAAACTTTGCAAAACGGTTTATTTTAGTGAGTACTATCTACAAAAAAAATATGGGCATTTAAATCGATGGTCCATATTGGAAATTTTATCCACAATATCTTTATTGCCAAAAAAACTGCAAGTTTTGCACCACCAAAGCAATTATTTCATTTTATCACTAATTTTTAACATTTGTAGACATTGACTGAGGTAAATATGAACTAGAAAAATTAGATATTTAAAAAGAAAATCTAATGGATACGATTTACGATTTCTCTAGCTAAAATAAACGGCTTTTGATATTATCTTTATAAATGTAACATTACCTTTCCACAGAAAGAGCAAGTGTATTTTGCATGTTGTGTCACTTCCATTTTTTTGACCATTTTACGCAACGAGGCTCCATATCGTGTACCATATTTTCCGGTAATTCCAACTTTTTTCGTGCGTTTGGCCTGAAAACAACATTCGACTCAATCACATACGAAGTCCAATTGAAATAAAAGGTGTAATTATTTAAATAGTGTTCATTGTAGCGAAACCTCATCAAGTTTATTAAAAAAACTTAAATGTAGAGTTTAAGAAATAATTGATTGCTAAGATTTTTACAAATAAAATTTCTCACCATTGTAAATTAACCTGCCTAACACAAAAGTTGACAGAAAAAGAAATTGATTGACAGTGACAGGAAGGTCACATCAGTTCTCTCTGGTACTCTTTTTAATAACTGGCTTTATGGCTCTGGGTTCTTGCCCTTCTCAGCCTTCTCTCTGGTACTATGTATGTACTATCATAGTCATACACACCAGTATATTCTAAGTCTATGGTTGTCAATGACCTACGTTGGTATCATAGACTTATTAGGTATATCTCAAGGAGATTGTAAAATATAGGGAGTGCGAACTTCATACTAGAAAACGTTCCTAAATCAGTGACCTTGAAATGAATGAAAAACACCGAGTTAAGCGTTCCATTTCTTTCTAATAGAGTGTCCAAGATACAATATTTTGAGGATATTAATAGTATATACAGCATTACGGAAAACGAAATGCGTATTTTTTTTTCAATATGGAAAGTGCTGAATAGTGTTATAATCAAACTCCGTTTAATATTTTAATTACATGATTGCTTCGCTACAGTATCAAACCTTACGGTACAAAGTGACGGCGTAGCGTGGATTGACACCCAGGGCGGTTTTCTATCAAGGACCTCCCGAAATAAAACAAAAAATGCTATACATGCTAACGGGACTTTTAATTTGCTAAAATATTCTAATATATTATCAAAATTTACTTTCTTGTCATTTCCGATTAATAAAATGGAAAGATTGGTTAGTCGCGTTTGGCTCATTGTACACCTTAAGTATGACTTTATTAACTTGAGTTTTGAAAAGCTTCCTTCACATGAAACTTAATAGTAAAAAAATCTTAGACACAGCGCTAGATTCGGAACAGATTCAGAATAGCCCAATTTTATGAGAAAAGCTCCAATGAATTACATTGAACCGCTTCGTGGGAAGAAATGCTGGCAGCTTTCAAGTCGTAAAGTCTCCAAAATTATATATCCTACAGAAAAATCATCGTAAATTTTTGTAAGACTTTGAACTATTACACGAAGATCTTCATCTGGTGACGTTAGCAGAGTGTAAGGGTAAACAACACTAAAAGTTACGTGAATATCATCCATTGCTCTGTAGCGATGGTCTAGTTCCTCGTAAAATCAGTTAAGACATTCTAACATAGCTCTCTGTAGCTCCTCTGACAATGTTAGTCCAGCATATCGGGTCATTACTCCTGGTAAACGTATTCGAAATCTCCTCATTCCTCTTCTTCCTTCGATCGAAATGACCACATTATCACATTTTTTGTTACGTAGGAAATAGCTTGTTCCACTAGTTGAATACGTTGGCTTTGAAAAAAAATTTTTGGGCTTTGATTTTTATAATATACTTTTCCAGTGATAATCTAGATTATTATTTAGTATTTACTTTTGTGTCTGACTAACTTCTTTTAGGATTTTACACCAAAAGTAAAGATAGCATAAAAAACTGAAATCACACAAAGCTGGTAAGAGTGTAGATGCTGCTTCTCTTGTATCGATCCTTTCTCTTTTTTTTTATAGGATAAGGGTGACAAACGAGCACACAGTCCACCTGATGGTAAGTGGTTGCTGCGGCCCATAGACATCTACATCTATCCTCTATTACAAATTAAAATGTAGATGCGTTGTCACCCGTGAGGACTAAGATGGAATGCCTCATTTCCAGTAAAAAGGGCCTCCGGCCACCTGCACTCACCAAGCGAAACGCAGAGGTAAACCTCCACGCTGGTTTTCTGTGAGGTCGTGGTACCACCCCGGTTCGAGCCGGCCCATCCGTGCGACAGCAAAAGCTGTCGCGTGGCCCTACCACTGTGTTGTTTCTCTGTTGGTGCTAGGATCATATATATCTTCGAGTGTTTTTAGTATGTAGTTTTTTTTTAATTATTCTGCAGTGGTTTAACAGCGTCATGATGAGCAATCCATCATGTCTCTGATAGTCTTTTGATGGATACGCCTACACTTTTCATTAAAGTTTTAACTTCCCGCTATGAAAATCAATGATGTTCAAACAATCGGGAATTTATTGGTTTCACTCCAGTTTTAGAAAATCGAGCTTTCATCAGATCTCAACGTTGTGAGGTCCTAGGAAGCTATTCTGACTATTCCTACGAGGATGTCACAATGTCTGTATGTATGTGTGTGTGTGGATGTATGTAACCCTCTCATAACCCGATTAAACTCGGCGGTGGTTGAAAGGGCTTCACCAAACTCAGATGCTTTATACCATTTGAACCGATTTGAACTAGTAGAAATTTCAAAAATAAATTTTTCCAAAAATTTTCTTTAGGGGATGAGTCGATCGCGTCCGTAGGCTTCGACCACCTAATCCTAGGCCCATCCTACACGTGTCCCCCGGGTGGTGCTAAACAAGCGACAAAGCCGAAAGAACAGACTCGGCTCCTCGTCGTGTGGTAGCGGCGTAAAAAATACCACACCATACTTTCGCAACATGAGGCAAAAAATTTACGAAATGGCCCCGAGCTCCCGGCGCCCCTTTAATGGAGCAGGGGTGAGAAGAATCTCCGGGAGGAAAACCGGTGACGAGGTTCGCCACCCGTCACGTTCTGTCCCCCGGAGGGGCGAAAAGTGGATTGCGGAAGCCCGTGTGGCTACATTGAATGTATGTGGAGGAATGAATGATAAGATGGATGAAGTATGCGATATGATGTATGATAGAGGAATAGACGTATTATGTGTAAATGAGACGAAACGGAAGGGAAAGTATGCCACTACACATGGCATGCATACCGCGTACTGGTCTGGTGTAGACGAGACCGAGTGGGCATGCCAGGGAGTCGGTATCATCCTTTCAGAAAGAATGGGTCATTGTATGAAAGAGTATGAATGTGTAAGCCCGAGACTGCTATGGATACGAATGAAAGTGGGCTTAAAGAAGTTGTTGGTTTTAGGGGTCTACCCACTTATATCCGAGAGCAGTTTTGGGAGTTGGTAAGGATGGTGCTAATGAAATGCAAGGTTAATGAAAATATTGTGATATTAGGCGATTTTAATGGAAGGGTTGGGGTGAGGAGGCTTGGTTATGAAAGGATATTGGGAACGTTTGGTGATAAAAGTATAAATGAGAATGGTGAAAGCTTTCTCGCCGTATGCGTGGAAAAGAATCTTGTTGTGACGAACTCTTTCTTTCGTCATAAGAAGATTCACACGTATACATGGGAAAGAGGTAATGATAGAAGTATGATAGATTTCATAATTGTTGATGAAAGAATGAGGAGCGCGGTGGTAGATACAAGGGTTTACCGGGGCTCTAACGTAGGGACGGATCATTACTTGGTCTTATGCCGAATTAATGGTCTTTTCAGACGTTGGAGGTATCGGACATCTGTGTCTACCACTGCGTTACAGCGTATAAGAACAGAGAGGTTACAAGATGAAGGTGTAAAAGAGAAGTTCAAATGTAGATTGAGAGAAAATATAACTGGTATGGCTGAATTGTGTATGAATGATTTAGACTTGGAGACTGTGTGGTATAATGTCAAGAAAGGTTTAGTGGATGCAGCTACCGAAGTATGTGGTGTAAGTAAGAGAACGATTGAAAGGAAAAATAACACGTTATGGTGGGATGATGAGGTACGGATGGAAGTTGAAGCAAAGAAGAAAGCATGGCTAGATTTACTAGCAAACAAGGCTAGTAATTCTAGCAGTATGAATGATGATATTGAAAGGAAAAATGTAGTTTTTAGACACCTAAATAAGAGAGTAAAAGAAGTAGTTGAAAGGAAAAAGCAAGAAAGAACGGATAAGAATGATAGAAAAATATCGGATAACTTCCAGGCAAACATTAAAATGTCCTGGAAACTCGTAAGAACTACCAGGGGACATTCAAAACAGCCTAGAATGAATGCTATACGAGACCAGAATGGCTGTATTCTGAATGACGAAGTTTTGAGTTTAAGAAGATGGAAGAAATACTTTGAAAGAGTGTGTATGAGTGATGAGACGTTTGAATTAAATGGAATAGAAATTCCGAAAGAAGAGGAAATAGATAGAGATATAAGTATAGATGAAATAATGAAAGCAATGAAAAGTATGAAAGCAGGTAAGGCAGCCGCTTATGATAGAGTATCTCTCGAAATGCTAAGGGCTGGAGAAGGAGTGGTGGCAGACCTGCTGTACACCTTGTTTAATTAATGTTGGGAACTTAAGCGGGTACCGGGAGACTGGTGCAAAGCAGTGATAGTCCCAATATATAAGGGAAAAGGATCACAGCAGGACTGTAAAAACTACCGTGGTATCAGCCTTCTTAGCATTGTGGGAAAACTGTATGCTAAGGTACTAATTGAAAGAGTTATGAAAGAAACTGATGGGAAAATTTGGGATGTGCAAGCGGGGTTTAGAAAGGGAATGGGATGTAAGGATCAGATCTTTTCCATGCGCATGATCGCGGAGAATTTTTTGGCCAAAAACCAAAAAGTTTTTTGTGCGTTCACAGACTTGGAGAAGGCTTATGACAGAGTGGACAGGGATGTGTTATGGCAAACACTGAACTCATTTGGGTTGACCGCTGGTCTGATACAGACATTGAAGTCTCTATATAGGGACTCTAGTGCGTGTGTCAGGATCAACGGGGCCTACTCGGACTGGTTTGGCATCCATAATGGTGTCAGACAGGGCTGTGTGGCTTCCCCGTGGTTGTTCAACCTATTTATGGACAGTTGTTTGGAAAATTTGAAAGTAGAAGAATGCGGGTTAAGAATGGGTGAGTTAACCGTCAAATGCCTTTTGTACGCCGATGATCAAGTCATACTTGCATCGTCGGCAGCCGAGTTGCAAATGATGGTTACATTAATTAACAGGACATTAAAAGAAAAGGGAATGAAAGTGAACGCAAGTAAGACGAAAGTTATGGTTTTTGAAAGAGAAGAAAGTAAAACGATATGTGAAATAAGAATAGAAGGGGAGTTGGTAGAGCAAGTAGATGAGTTTGTATATTTGGGATGTGTGTTTAGCAGGGATGGTAGATATGATAATGATATAGAACGACGAGTGAATGCAGGAAATAGAGTG